ACCGAGATTCCAAGATTAGATAAGAACATCAATATTAATATTTGGATGGACTGTTGTTATACAATGATGATTATTACCACTTGTTATACAAGTGATGGCTTAGGTTTCATTCCTAGAAACAGCATATGATTATTTGTTTTGTGAATTATGTGAAAGCTATTGTTAAAATTAATGGGGCTCAATGGGTGAGGCACTGATTAATAGAATTAGTGGTAAAGTGTGGGTAGGATTAATGACAAAATTAATGGGGTTAATTGGCTTAATTAGACTCTTTCACTTTAACTTAATCAGGATTAACAGGAAAGTAGGGTGATTAGAGATCAATGGCAAAGTGGGTTCAAGATAATGAAACCCTTTTTTTTTCATCGGGCTATGTAACAGGGCACAGGCCGCCCACTAAACCCATAACCCCAATCATGGTGGCCACAGATTCGACTATAACTAGCCAAATAACTTATCAAATAAGCCACTATCAGTTGGTATATGATTTAAAACTTAACTAAAGAGGATAGTCAAAGATTTACTAAGGCTGCATTTGATTGTGGTGGAAAAATCCTCGATGTAAAATTTAATTTCTCAGTTTAAAATTTGAATAGGTTGTTTGGGGATTTTTTATGTGAGAATCGATGTATCATTTACATCGGTTTACAATGGAAAAGTCAGCCAATTAAATTTTACATTGAAAACAAAAGTTTGAAAAAGTGAATCAAGTGTGGAGTTTTACATTGATCGGCTTTTAGACTGAAAACAAACAGATATAAATATGAACCGATAATGAATTTTACATTGGTTTGAATTTACATTACAATCAAACACAGTTTAAGGAAAATCATATCAATTAATACAAACAAGATACAGTCAATATAGCCCGATATAATATTAGGAATTCAACAACTCGGATTGAATTAGGGTTTACCTCAACCTCAACCTAGCCTGACTTTCACCCCTACCCCAACGCAGGTGGAGTGACACACTGACACCGAAGCTAGGCCACGACCTATGCCCCATGCAAAGTATATGGAGAATACATATTTCTCTATAGCCAACTTTTGTTTGTTTCCATACATACAAATACAAATCGTGTAACAACTATTACTTTTTCAATTATCTAAAAAAATAAAACGATTACTTGTTCAATTAATTTTTCGAGATAGCTAGAAATGTTGCACATCATTTGTTTTAAATTTTGTTTCTTTATCATGTATTATATGGAAAGACTTTTATGAAAATATGTTACCCTTCACCTAATTAATGCCAAGTTTTGACATGACGTGTTGATTTGTATCTCCAGCTTAATCACATCAAGTGTGACTCTATTTGCACCTTTCCACTTAATTCCAAATTTCCTATCCCGGCCCACAAGAGAAAACTAAGAAGAAAAAGCAAATACGAAACAAGAAGTGGAGAAAAAAATGCTTAACACGATTGCCACCTAATATCCAATTAATTATCCTTTTTACCTATGTATGGCCCAACATTTATATTCATGACAAGTAGAACATATATATATACTCTTGCCACAAAAATTGTAATTCCTCATAAAAAATAATAATTCAAGATGTTTTTTCTTTATTTTTAGCCTACAAGCCAAAGATGAAACTGGGTAGAGTGAATTATTTAGGTACAAAACTAATTAAATATCTTGCTTATAATCTAGGGATTTTTGGACAGCACTCCCCCTCAAAAATCTTTTCTGCAGCCCCCTCTTAGATTAGTAGCCCCCCTATAAACCACATCCTGCCTATGAATTTGGCATCAATCCACGAGCAGGATTCAATGTACCCTTAGGAAATCCTAGTTCCACCTAGGGGTGGACTGAATCATCAAAACCCCTATAATCCATATTACCTATAAAAGAACGAATATCCCTTTTTTCTAGAATTTTTATTGGATATTTTTTACCCCCTTATCTAAACAGCATACAAGAGGGTATGGTATATAAGTCCTTTACTCTCACTTCAAAAACTACCCATTTATAACAGTTAAGAAACTGTCCACTTATAATTGTTCAAAAACTGTCCATAGATTCTAAATAATATTGTCTTGGAGATAATATCATGTGCAAATACTTGTACGAATTTACTAGTAAATATAAATATCACAAAAATTCTAAACTGACAATGGCAATTGTTTGGCAAAAATAATGGACTTGGTGAGARAWTGTGAATAACTTTTTATACTTTATGCTATTAAAAGAGTTTACATCGTACACTGTAAGAATAACCTACCCCATTGAATTGGCATGTGTTCCACTTTATGACCCAGAGTCTCACTTGATGACCTCGGTTCTCATGAGAGGCTGAAAGCTTTCTATACCATATGATTCTCAAGGTTGGTATGATCCTTTGTTTTTTTTAGTTTTATTTTTTCTAACACATTATTATCATTGCGTCATTGCTATCTTAATCGTATCATTTTCATTAAAAAAAATCTCCAATTGGATCTTTAATTTGGGCCATCCTATTTCTTTCTTCAATGGGAGACATGATTTGACTCCATTTCTCCATCTCGATCGGGTCTATACACAACGACTCTCGAATTTTTCACGAGTGCAGACTTTTTAACCAACAATTATTAAGCCTTCCTTAATAATCAACCAGCAGTCATATGTAGCGAATTTGGAATTCTTGAGATGCTCTCTCAGAGAACCTTGGTTAATTTTGGTATTTCATTCAAGTAGAAAAAAAGAAAAAAAAAACTCGTTTGGAGTTTGAATTTGATAATGTCTACTTTTCAAAATACTTTTGCTATAAAAAGCACAAAAGAAGAATAGAATGCTTCGTGCTTCGATTGTGTGGTTCAGGACATTTTTGCTTTTTCGCAAAATGTGAAGGGGCATATGTGTGAAGCCATGTAGTAAATTTTTATACCACTTTCTTAATTTGGGTCATAAAAGTTTTGAGTTGGATATATGTTTATAGTTGCCATGCGCCACTTTTATGCCAAGTGGCATTAATTTGTGCAACATATCATAACCCATGGTCATTTTTAACAACTATTTTGCGAATTATATAGCAGCTTAAAAGAGGTAGTTAGGCTCTTCAAAGATACATAAAATTGCCACATGGCAAAATGAACAAGGCACAAATTCTATCCTACATGTGAAATTTTTCATATCACATATAGTATCAATACTCATGCTTTGAAAAAGAAAAGCAAAAGCAAACAAGCACATCCAAATGCAAATGCAACTTTTGTTGATGTAGTGGAATGGGCTTTGAAATAATGTGGGGAAGAATATTGATTATTGACCAAGCGTTTTGTCTGTTTTTCCATTGTCAAACTAAATCACTCTCATCAATTTAGGAGGTTTTGTTTGGATAAGTTACCGTTTTTGAGTTTCGAAATGGAAAATAAAATTTAAACAGAAAGTGTTTTGAGCTTTTTGCAAATTTGTCCTAGCTACGCCAATGAAGATTATTACCGAAGTCAGAATGACCCCAAAAATATCTGCAAAAATCTTTTGTAATTGTCTAATATTTCTATTGCTTCTTTTTCACCAACGGCACAGATGGAATTGCCGCAAACAGTGCTGCTTGATACTGTCTATTTCAAGGCCAATGCAGGTGAAACAAACCTCCTCGAAACAGTGTCGCTTGCTAACGTCTGTTTCAAGGCCAATGTTGGTGAAACAATCTCACCTGTCCTTACCGTCTGTGCCGGTCTGTTTCAAAGTCTCTAATTTCCGCTCTCCCCTATTTCACCGTCCCCCTCCACCTCTATCTCTCTTCGGTCTCTCTCTCTCTCCATTCTCAGACCTCCCCCTCCACCTCTATCTTTCTCCGGTCGCTCTCTCTCCATTCTCAGACCTCCCCCTCTGCCTCTGGTCTTTCTCTCTCCTTTCTCCATTCTCAGACCTCCCCTCTGCCTCGGTCTCTCTCTGGTCTTTCTCTCTCTCAACCTCTGCTTTACGATCTCTCTCAACCTCTGTTCTCAGACCTCCCTCTCTATTCTCCGATCTTTCAGTAAATTATTTGTAATTTCAATTTTGATTGTGCTCATTTAAGTTGTTTTATTTTGAAAATTTGAAGAAGAATAAAGGGTAAAATAGTACTGATGGTTCCAAATCCTCATCAACCAGTGCTATAGAACTGAAAATGAAAGAAGTAATAAGAATATCAAATACAATGAGATTTTCAATTAAACAGCGGATGCAAAGTGCAGGAATGCCTAAAAAACATGACCAAGTCTCGATACTCCAGAAACTTGCACCATCAATCCAAAATAGCAAAGATCAATCTTACATGGGAGGGATTCACAATATTGTATCACTATGGAAAAAGCAAATCACTAAGGCCCAGGCAAGAATTAAACATAATCAGTGTCGACTTGGACCAACGATCAATCCTAATAAAAAACTATTGAGAAAGATTCAATATTCCAAGTTTAAAGTTGTCAAATAAAGGTATTTTACTTTAGTTTTTAAGGCCCTATTTGGTTTGTGGGAATAGAGGTCTAGAATTGGAATTGGAATGGACTATTCTGATTCCAATTATTTGGTTGGGTGGAATCGGAATTCCATTCCCATTCCTATTGAAATGGCATTCCCCATTTGAGGGAATGGTCATTCCCTGCTCCTCCCTTGGGAATGAAATTCTATTCCTACTCATTCCAATTTCCATTCCCATTCCCATTCTTGTCTGAAACGAACATACTATGGGAATGAACCATTCTGATTCCAATTCCGACTATGAACCAAACGGACCCTAACTCTATTTAATCTGATGGCAATTTCTTCTATTTTACGTGTTTTTCCATGAAGCAGGTTAATATTCGTATTTTTTTTTTTTTTTTTTACCAATCTCAGAAAGTTCATGGGAAAGTCTTTAAGATTTTTATTGAATTTGATGCATTTTATGCTTTAATAATTAGTCTAACTCGTCAATGGAATTTTCTGTGGTACAAAAAAGCCTCAAAATAGATTTAAATCAATTGGATACATAACATTATGGAATGTGAAAGTGTTTTCTTTTTTTTTTTTGATAAAAAGGCAAAGAAGCCTAATATTCATTAGAGAACTCAGCAGAATCAGCAAGTACAATCTTCTTTAAAAACAAGGGAGCAGAGGACCAAGTAAAGGATGAATTACATGACAAACCAAACCGAGCCAATGCATGAGCCGCCTTGTTAGTCAATCTAGGAGAGAAGGCTACTGAGAACTCCGGGTGATGATTAATGATATTCTTGCAACTGAGAAAGAGTGTAGTCACACTCCATAGAGGGATACCATTACCCTCCAACAAGAAGTTGATCAGAGTAGCACAATCACCCTCAAAAACATCTTTGGAAATTCCACAGGATATAGCAAAAAGGAGACTTTCCAGCAAAGCATGGGCTTCAGATTCCAGAGAAGAACACAGGCAAGAAGGGACCACGCGAGCATAGATCAAGTTTCCATAATGGTCCCTAATGATACAACCAGCACTTGAGCGAACAAGAGAGGTTGCACCATCAAAATTAATCTTCACCAGAATAGCTGGAGGCTTACTCCATCTGCAAGGAGGGACTGGGGCAAGAATATTCAAAAGGTTATGAGAAGTTGGACAGACATCATACAAAAACCCAACAGATTATTCCCGGGCTTTACAGATAACCAGTTCAGGAGGCCATACAACTCCGCAAAAAATAACTACATTGTGAGCCAACCAAAGATGCCAAATGATTGAGAATGCCAGTGGGTAAGAAGGATGGGGGGAGGAGAGATAAGCTGATCCCAGGGAAATCCAGAAAGAGATCATCAGCTCAGGGAAATGCTTGAACAGATCAAAACGGGCACCCAAATCAGAACCAAACCAAACTGCTTTTGCAATTGGGCAGAATAGGAATAAGTGATCGACTGATTCCTCCTCAAACAAGCAAAATGGGCAACAAGAGTCAAAATTGGGCTTCCACAACTTTAATTTATTCCTTGTAGAGATCGCATCATTTAAGGCCCTCCAGATGAAGATCATGATCTTGGGGTGGATCCATTTAAGTTTCCAAAAATTTGACCATTCGCATTCACCATATAGAAAGTTTGCATTAGAGGAACAAGGTAGGTCCGAATCTAGAAGTCTATATGCTGAAGAGGTGGTGAACTGCCCATGGGGAGTAAGAGACCAAATAAGTTGATCCTCCATGACATTACTATATAATGGGAGAGCCAAGGAGAGAATCTCTTGTGCAGCCTGTGGCTATTGATGATGGATAAGATCCGCCACTTTCAGAGGAAGGCTCTGGTTTGGTTGGTCCAGCAATATCTCCATTGATTTCATTAAGATTACTGACAATGCAGTGCTCTTCTCTATCTTCAATATGCCTCATTACTGTAAATGGGACCTTCTTTGTTACTATGTCCACCCGTCATCCTTGGCCCGACAGAAATCTGTAAACGAGATCACCTCTTATGCTTCTTCGACTGATAAACCATGGTGTTTGTATGGTGATTTGAACATGATTCACTCTGCTTCTGAGAAATCGGGGGGTAGAGGCCTTACAGATTCGGACCTTGGTTCTCTAGACTCCCTAATTACAACTTGTGGTCTTCTTGATATTCGTTTTTCTGGCCCCAAATTTACCTGGTCTAACCAGAGCGACTTGATGATGGGCTCATTCGTATGAGACTGGACCGTTTCCTTGTTTCTTCTTCATGGGCCAATCTCTTCCCGAATGCCTTTGTGCAGCACCTTGCCTCGATGGGTAGTGACCACCATCCGATTTTGTTACACTCTACAAATTCCATTCCTTCTAGCTCTAAGCCTCGGAGGTTTGAAGAATTCTGGGTCAAAGAGCCACTATTTCGAAACCTGTTCATGGATATCTGGAACAAGTCACCTGGTATGTTGTGTAAATTTTGCTCTTGCTCATCTTAATAATCGGTCTGATTCAAGCTTTGGTAATTTCAAAAAACATATTGCACACATTGAAAGTCAGCTTGCGCATGAGCAATCCCGTCCATGTCATTCTATCTACAATCAAAAGATCGCGTCTCTACAGAACAAGTTATTTGAATGGCTGTGGAGGGAGGAGACCTATTGGAAATAAAGGAGTCTAATTAATTGGAACTTTGAAGGGGATAGGTGTACCAAATTTTTTCATATATCGGCCTCCAATAGAAGAAGGAGAAATGCAATCCACTGCCTTAGAAATCCGGATGAAATATGGACCTCATCCAAATCAGACATCGAAGATATCCTTACCAATCACTTTATTGGCCTCTTCTCCTCATCTAATCTGGACTTATCGGATTTTAATGTCCCTGACATTGCCTAGTCCATTTCTAATGATGACAACATTTCTTTGCTAAAAATCCCAGATGAGCTAGAAATTTCCCAAACTCTTTTTTGTATGGCCCCTTCCAACACCGTTGGGCGGCGTTAAAAGCTGAATTGATTCCCTGGGTGCAAAGTATTTTTCGAAATCCTTCCAACATAAAAGAGGTAAATGCTACTTATGTTTAATCCCAAAAAAAGATTTTGTGGAAGGTCCCAATGATTTTAGGCCCATTGGGCTAAGCAATGTGCTATATAAACTTATAGCCAAAATCATCACAAACAGGCTAAAGCCACTTCTTTCGAAGATTACTTCCCCTTTCCAGTGTGCCTTTGCACCGGGAAGGAACATTGTGGATAATTCCATTATTGTGCAGGAGGCTCTCTCTCCATTTCATGAAATGTCAAAAAGACAGATACGAGTCATTCATGCTTAAAATTGATTTATTAAAAGCTTATGACCGTATTGAGTGTGGTTTTCTCATAAAAAGTCTAAAATGTTTTGGATTCTCTGAGGACTTTTGTAATCTAGTTTTCTGGTGCATTTATTCCCCGAGATTCTCTATTCTTATTAACGGTTGTCCAAGCAAATGGTTTTCCCCTACTCGAGGTCTTAGACAGGGGTGCCCCCTTTCCCCTTACCTATTTATTATTGGTACAGAAGTTCTTTCTAGAATGCTGGAAGCAAAATGTTCTCTGAAGGCGAATGATAAATATCTCGATGGGCCCTTGCTTATGGGTAGAGCTAAAGTGTTGGAATGGAAGTTCTTAGTCGAAAAACTAAAGTCCAACCTGGCGGGATGGAAGAAGCKWGCAGATCTGTTCTTATTAGGTCCACTCTTCAAGCTGCTCCCCAATATATCATGCAGACCTATCTCCTTCCAAAGCAAACATGTTCGAACTAAATAATATCTGCAGAAATTTTTGGTGGTCTGACTCTGAGAATGCTGGTCTTCATCTTAGAAAGTGGTCACTGTTTTGTAGACCAAAAGCCTATGGCGGGCTGGGCTTTCGTGATTTTGAGTTAGCCAATAAAGCCCATATCATAGAAATTGGGTTGGAGATTACTTAAGTTCCCTTCGGCTTTGTGGGATAAAGTCCTCCGTGCTAAATACTTCAGGTCCTCCAATTTCTGGGAATTAAAACCAAAACCGAGGATATCCCACATATGGTGAGGTATTCTTGCTTGCAAATCTCATGTTCGCAAAGGGTGCCGTTGGATAATTGGTAATGGGTGGAGCGTTGATGCCTTATCCGATCCCTGGCTCTCTAATGTTGTGGATCTTTTTGTCTAGCCCCTCCTCTGAAGATGGAATATGGAAGTGTGGAACATTAAAGAAATCCAAGAACATTATTAGAAAGGTAAACAATAGTAGCAATTACCATAAATTCAAGAGAAAAACATGAAATCAATATTTCAAAGGAAGAGAGAGAGAGAAAAGAAAGTTACAGAGAGAGGGAGAGGGGAAACCTGAAGGACCGAAGGACCGAAGGAGAGAGTGACTAATGGACAACATTGAGTGGGGAAATTCAAGAGCAAACCTCTTAAACCATCCTTAGGGGTTAGCGTAATGACATGTGGTACCCTTACTGTTTAGTTATTGTCTTGTGGTACCCTTAAGTTTTCTGACAATTGACTAGCTCTACCCCTGTTGTTAATATCCGTTATCGGCCAAAATTCATACACACATGACACCACATGATGTATGATTTTTTTTTCAAAACCCAATTTTGCCCTTCGTCCCTCTCCCTTCTTCACCATCCCTCTCCCTGGCAGCAGCTACAGTGAACCACTCTGCAACCATTCCACTCCCTGTTCTTGCTGCCATCGCCATCACTGTCGTCGTCTGTATCCAACCACTTCTATCCCCACCAGAAAACCTTCAGCCGCTCTCAGGTTAACCAAAAACCCTCTCTCTCTAACCACTTCTATCCCCTACAAAATGCATCCACAAGAATACCCAGCTATGCAAGATTTGGCAGCAATTGTGACCGTAACATTTCGTCTGTTGCCTTCRGCATCAGCAAAGGAGCGTCAACAAGCATACCTGAGAAAGTAACAAGGATTTCAAATTTTGCTTCTTGAATTCTTCGTTGTTCTCCTCAGAGATGCCATTGGGATATGGTTTTATTTACAGGAGGCGATTGTCGCAGCTTGTGGGGGAACGAACTACTGGATCGGTGTACAGAAATCCTCCTGGCATGGGAGTTTCAACAGAGAAGGTTATTGAGAAGGCTGGGCTGAAAGGCTTCAGAGTTGGCAATGCAGAGGTTTCCAAAGTTCATGCTAACTTCTTCATCAATACCGGCAGCTCAAATTCTCGAGAGATGCTTGAACTTATTGGCTTGGTTAAGGCAAAAGTTAAAAAGGAATTTGGAATACAACTCCAAAAAGAAATACAATATGTTGGTCCATTCTGTAAATATTCACTAGTCGTGTCTCTGACCAAAAGCCATTAGGCGTCCAAGCTACCAAGGTCCATCCCTAACGACACCTTGCAAACCATGTCGAACGCGAACCTCCTTAATAGCTCTGCATGTCGACCACCTTATTATTCGCCGAAGCCGACTTCAATAAGGGCAACAGCCGCTCTTCCACCTCTTCCACCAGCGTCTTCACTACGAACTCCCGTAGGGATTTGGTGGTGAACTCGTGGCTTTACTAACTTTCGGTAAGTTTGCCATATATAGCTCCCCATCCACATTGAATATGTCGTAGCCCAGAAGGTCACCGAGGATCTCGGTGAAAGGCTTACCTTTAGGGAAAAAGAAGAATGGGTGAGTGTATTCAAGTTCACAACTTCGCATTGCGATCGACCTCTAATAGACTTGAAGTCTTGAATGCAATTTCGTACGAAGCCTAACGACTTCACATAATCAAAGTGTGCTAATGGGGAAACTGGAATTTAGTCTCATCACTTTTTCTAAAATTGGCTTCCTCTCTGCAACTATAGAATTTGTTCTTCATATCTGTTTTGAACTTCCAAATTTTTTCCGTTCCTCTACCTTTCCCTCTATTAAAGCGTCGTTTCTTCAAGGTTCTTCAGATCTGATCATGAATACGGTATTGCGTCCCATACATGTCACCACAGCCACCGTTGCCAGTAGCGGCACCGGTCTCGGTGGAAATGAAACACACCTGCTGACCTTGCCTGACGGTGAAATTGGAAGCCTCCGGGAAAGAAGGCATCACCGGTGCAAGCCTATGTGGAAGAATTGGTTTCCCATTCCTTAATATTTTGCACCATTGAAAAGGAAGAAGAGTCCCAATTTCCGCTGAGACCTTTCTCCACTAAAGAGGAAAAAGAGGGTAAATTTGACTTTAACGATAATGACAATTGTCAGAAAATTTAAGAGTACCATAAGACAATAACTAATGTGATATATCATGATGAAGTTAATTAAAGTTAGTAGATTTTTTTTTTTTTTTTTAATCTCAAACTTTATTCTTGGTGGAAGGAGCAGTCAAGGTGGTTTTTTTTAAAGAGGCCTAGGAGAGGGACCTAAATATAAACAACAACAAGAAGAAAACAATTTTAAATGTGGTTCTATTCATATATTTAATAAAGGTTTCATTTAGAATGGAAAAGGGAAAGATAATTCTTTTTTGGGAGAAAGACGGTTCAGCCCAGGGTCAGAATTTGAAGGTTCAAAGTACTATTGAGGTAGGTGCCAGGTTGGAATTGATGCCAAATCATGGGTGGGTGTTAGTGCATAGAGTGTGGGTTGCTGACATTTTAAATGTTTATAGTTCTACAGTGGAAATCAGAAATTTGCATTGGGCATGTCCGTACTTTTCCATACATTTTTTAAGGCGGAGGATGATTCCTGATGTAACCGTTTTTGGTCACGTACCATTTTTTGTGATGTATAAATTTTTTGGCTAAGTACCTCGTTGTTTGACCCAGTGGTGACGTGCCTTGGTGATGAGCTTCTTGGTGGCGAACTCCCTGCGGGAGAACTACTTGGTGACGAACTGCTTGATGGCGGTCTGGTGGCGAACTGCCTGATGGCGAGATGCCTGGTAGTGCTCCCTGGTGGCGAACTACCTGGCGGCGAACTGCCTGGTGGCGAACTACTTGGCGGCGAATTGCCTGGTGGCGAACTACCTGGCGGCGAGCTACCTGGTGGCGAACTCCCTGGGGACGAACTACCTGGTGGCGAACTGCCTAGTGGTGCTCCCTGGTGGCGAACTGCCCGGTGGCGAGCTGCCTGGTGGCGAACTGCCCGGTGGCGAGCTGCCTGGTGGCGAACTGCCAGGTGGCGAACTACCTGGTGGCGAACTGCATGGTAGTGCTCCCTGGTGGCGAACTGCCTGATGGCGAACTGCCTGGTGGCGAGTTACCTGGTGGCGAACTGCCTGGGGGCGAACTGCCTGGTGGCGAACTCCCTGGTGGCGAACTGCCTGATAGAGAACTCGTCACTTGACTTGCTCCTAGGCGGTCTGCAACTCAGAGGATGGTGGAGCTCCCTGGTGCARCGCAACCCGACTACCCTCCGCGTGAGGTGATTTTCTCTCCTTTGTAGACGGCGGGAGCTGAGGGAC